GGGCAAGAGGCTGGGGCCAGACTCTGCTCAGTGGTGCCAGGGACAGGACAAGGGGCAACGGGCACCAACTGGAACCCAGGAGGTTCTGTCCAAACAGGAAAAAGAATTTATTCCCTGTGAGGGTGTCAGAGCCTGGAGCAGCTGCCCAGAGAGGTTGTGGAGTCTCCTCTGGAGAGATTCTGGTCAAACTTTGACCCTGGGCACCCTGCTGTGGGTGAGCTGCTGGAGCAGGGGGGTTGGATGAGATGATCTCCAGAGGTCCCTTCCAACCCCACCATGCTGGGATCTCCCCATGGGCTGCTCCACTGAGTAGTCTTGCTCTCTGTAGCTGCAGCTGGCAGCATGAAGGGATGGTGGTTTCCTTGTGCTCCATGGCCCACAGCTAATGAGAGCATCCCTTTGGATGTTGTTAGAACAGTGGGAGCTCTGGCTTTGGGGTGCTGGGGAGGCTAAAAGTTCACATGGAAGAACAACTGGTGAATGGATTCATTGAAAAAACAAACAAACAAAGCAAAACAGCCCCAAAATTGAAATCCAGCACGGGCTGTTCAGTAAATAATGTTACTTCTGCATCAGGGAACCCCCAAACTGGGGGTTGTTAGAGCTCCCTTTGTAGGCAGGACGACCCCCTGGCAGGGGCCACCTCAGCCCCAGATCTCTGCTTGGGGCTGTCTCCAATCCTCATGCAGACACGTATCATAAAGACCACATGGGCTTGCAGACCATGAGAAGAAAGCCCCAAAGCAATGTCCTGGCAGCCACAGCAGCTGCTGGCCACGCTGGGGTGTCCTCACTGGGCCGGGGAGGGCTGCAGCACACCGGCAGCGAGGGAGGGGTGCCGAGCAGCAGCCGCTGGTCCCAGGCACACCTCCTGTGGTTGAGGGATGGCTCCGGAGGCCACGGGATTCATCTCCCGTCGTGGAGTGCCCTCAAGAGGCTGCTTGGCTCTAGTGCACTTCTCGAGGGTAACAAGCACCCAGCCACCCTCACCTCAGGTCCTCCTTCCATGGAAATCCACCCCTGCTGCTCTTCTGGAGGACACGGCAGCTCTCAGAGCTCCCCGTTCGCCTCCTCGACCTTGTGTGGAGACCCACAACTCCCCCCTCCCTCCCTCCCTCCCTCTGCAGATCCACCAGAAGATCCCCAGCGGGGACCCCTCCTCCAAGAAGACCCAGCAGGTGGTGGGCTCCATCCGTGCCCTGAGCTCGCCCGGCGGCCCCATGGCCTCCCGCCCACACTACTCCCCCATCTACCTGTCCCTGGCCATGCTCCTGGCAGCCCTCAGCTGGCAGTACCTCAGCACCATCTCCAGGGCCGCCGAGGAGTACGTCCAGGAGAACTGAGGGGAGGGAGGTGATGCTCCACGGAGGGGTGGTGGAAGCAGGAGGCTCCTGGTCCTCTGCTGCTGGGGGTGGCCGGGGTGCCATGGGGCCCAGGATGGTCCCGTGGATGAGCTGCAGCCCCAGAGGGGGTGTTGGGGGGCTCTGCTCCTCACCCCCCTTTTGCCACCAGCTGCTTAGATGGTTACAAATGTCCTAAAAAAAAAACCCTCTTTGGGGTTTAGGTTTTTTTTTCCCTTCCCTCTTTCTTTCCTGTTGGATGGTTTACCTGAATTTGTTTTTGTTTTGGGTTTTTTATTTTGGTTAGGATGGTTTTAAATAGAAGCTCTAGTTGCCTCTTCTCTCGCTCGAGATTTGAGACATTTCCAGCTCAGAGCTGAGCATAACCTTTTGGGTTTTGCCTCCAGCCTCTTCCCCATCACCTCCGGTGCCCACTCCATGCTGGGAGAGGAACATGTGTTCTTATCCAGGGAAAATAAAGCTCTGCCCATCTTCTGGCCCTCAGCCCAGGTCTGTTGGCAGCCTGGAAGGAGCCAGAGGAACCCTTCACGTTCCTGTTGTTGTGCTGGAGGAGGCTGTGAGGCTTGAGACAAGCCCTGTTAATGGTCAGTAAGGTCAGAGGTGGGTTGCTCTGTCCTCTTGAACGTGTATCCCAAGATGAAAGCCATCTATTGCAGCCCCCTGCTCTAGCAGCTGGCACTTGCCAAGCTGGGGAGGTGGTTCAGAGGGGGAGAAGGGAGCTGCCTGCGTGGCCCTGAGCTGACAACCCCAGGCCTGACTCTGCTGGAGGGTCCAGGCCCTGGAGCTGGGTGGCCCTGGCAGAGCAGCAAGGCTGGAGTGTGAGGGTTGGCACCGTGCTGTCCCTCACAAGATGCTTTTTTTGGGGGGGGATTTGGTGCACTTGGCCACCCTGCAAGGCAGCAGTGATCCCTGCCATGGGCTGGGAAGGCTTGAGAGCCACCAAGGAGGTGGCCAGGGCAGGCTTCCTTGGCCCTAGCTTGGGATGGTGCTTCGGGTGAGACTGATGTGTGAGCTGGAAGAGGCTTCCAGTGCTCTTCTGAACCACCTCAGGCTGGACTGACTTCAAGGGGAAACACTTGAAAAGCAAGTCCTGGTTTCCTGGGGTGGGATTTTGGTTTCAGGGTCCCTACCCACGCCCCCTGAAATGCTGCTTTGCCCTCGTGAAGGGAAGGACAATGTCCTGGTGCAGGATGGAGCTGCCAGGAGCAGGTGGGTGGCCTTTGCAAGGCCAAGCCTGGGTGGTCAGGCACAGAAGGAGGACCCCTACTCCACCAGCACCAATGTAGATAGTTTTAAGCTGTTGTTGAAAAGAAACCTGCGGTCGCTTTCTTCGTGCAGCTTCCTGTCTGGACAAAATTAAAGTTCCCTTTGGGAAAAAAAAATAAAAGTGTTGTTGGGAGATTTTTCTTTTAGCTGTCCTTTCTTTTCCATCCTCATCCCTGGGCCTCCAGCCCGTGCACACTCTTGTAGCAGTGTGCAGAGAGGCTGGGGGGTGCCCCTCCTCCAGAAGAGTTCAAAGGAGAAATAAATCCCAAATTAAAAACAAGCAAAACCCCCCCAAAAAAAACTTCTTACTAGAGCTGCCGAGTGCAGCTGCCTTTCCACCTGTTGAGTTCATGGAGAAAAATGATCATTTCACACCTTTTGTAATGCTTGAAGATCCTCCTGTGCTTCCCCCCACTGCCAGGGTTCTCCAAGCTCTGATGGGAAGATCTGGAATTCCAGGGCCAGGAGAAAACAGGAAAATTTATCCCACTTTTGAATCCCAGGGGAGTTTAGACAAAAAGCTTTTCATTTACAAGCATCCCAGCCTGGAGCAGCACTGGTGTGGCCAGCTGGCCCAGGGCAGGGATTGTCCCCCTGGGCACTTGGGAGGATGCATCTCGAAACCTGGGGTCAGTTTTGGGCCCCTCACTCCCAGAAGGACCTTGAGGGGCTGGAGCGTGGCCAGCAGTGAAGCTGATGAAGGCTCTAGAGAACAAGTCTGACAAGCAGTGGCTGAGGGAGCTGGGGGTGCTGAGCCTGGAGCAAAGGAGGCTCAGGGGAGACCTTCTGGCTCTGCACAGCTCCTGACAGGAGCCTGGAGCCAGGTGACAAGTGACAGGAGAAGTGAAAATGGCTTCAAGTTGTGCCCGGGGAGGTTTAGGTTGGACATTAGGTTGAAATTTCTTCCACAAAAGGGTTGTCAAACCTTGTCCCAGGCTGCCCAGGGCAGTGGTGGAGTCCCCACCCCTGGAGGGGTTTCCAAGCCGTGGAGATGTGGTGTGAGGGACACGGGGCAGTGGGGACCTGGCAGTGCTGGGGGATGGTTGGACTTGATCTTAAAGGTCTTCTCCAACCTAAATGATTCTATGGGGACAGTCCTGGGTGCCCTCTGGCCCACGTTGAAGCACCTTATCACCAGTAGGCACTGCTCAGGAGTCAGCACAAGTCACAGTGCCACCAGTGTGGCCCTGGGACGAGGCTGGGACTCCCCCCAGGGTCCCACCTGGTTTCTCCAACGCCCAGAAGAACAGCAGGACACATCCAGGTGGTTCCAAGTCAACCAGAAGCAACCCAAGGCCAGGAGACAGGACACTGGAGAAGTCATTTATTGGCACGGTTGTTCCACAGGGCTGGGCCCCAGCTCTGCCTGGCTCTGGAGCAGAACCAAGGGGCCAGTGCAAGGGAGAGGCTGCAGCACGTGCTCCAGGCCTGCAGCCTCGGCTCAGCAATTACAAATAATCATTAAAAATAAAACCCCTCTGGCTATATTAGTGTTGGCAAATCACAGGGTTGCTCCTACGCAGCCATTTACACCTCCCCCCAGGAACAAAAATAAGTTTTTATTCTTCCTTAACGCCTGTGGCTCACAAAAAAAAAAAACCCAAACCAACCCCAAAACACCCAAACCCAAAAGCTTCAATCCTGTGCAAGTTGGTGAGAGGCCTCCAAACCTCTGCAGGAGCTCCTGCAGCAGACCCAGGGCCCATCCCTCCTCTCTGCTCAGCACCTCACCGATTTGGGGTGCAGCACCCACCACCCCAAGCTGCCCAGCCACCCAGGAGGAGCCCTTTGCTCTTCCCAACCTGCTCCTAGATGCTTGTAGGACGTTTGATCAAAGGCTCGTGGAGCTCCAGGCAGGTTCTTCCCTAAAAATTGATAACCCCAGATTACAGCAGGAAAATAAGAAGCCAATAGCTGAGGAAGGAGAAGGGGTTTAAACCAACAGCCCAAGGGATGGAGCAGAGCAAGGGATGCACAGAGGACTTGGTGCAGGCAGGAGGGGCCTCAAGGCAGCTCCAGCCAGAGCCAGCCCCATCTTAAGGACATCTGTTTTGTCAGGAACAGGTCCAAGTTTAGCCAATTCAAGGCACACTCTTACATATCCTGGTTTTTTTGGGGGCTTTAACAGTCAAAGCAACCCAGCCAGGGGTGCACAAACCACCCCTGGCCGTGGCTTCCCAGCGGGGGCCATCTCTGCTGTCCCACCAAGTCCCTAGTCCCAGCACAAAGCTCCTGCTCCCCACCCTCCCAGGAGCAGGGTGGGCTGGAAGGGGTCCGAGCTCTCCAAACACCCATGTGCAGGAGGGCAGCGAGCCCTCCAGCAGCCCTTTGAGCAGGGAACCACCAGGAGCAGAGGGCTTGGCAGCAGGTCCCACCTCCAGCTCCACCACACTATTAAAAATAATAAAAAATATTAAAAAAAAAAAGATAAAAAGCTTTAATAAAGTAACCTCCACTCTAGTCTCTTAGAAAGGGGAGAGAGGGGGGGCTCTGCACCCAACCCACTATCAACAAAAAGCATCAGGGACTCAGGATGGTTGGTGGTTTGACCAAGAGCTACACCCTCTTCCAGTACTGCTCGGGCTTGGGGATGCCCGCCACCACCTCGGACTCGATGCCACAGTGGTCCTCTCCACGCAGGATCTTGAAGAAACCTGGAAGCACACCCATAAAATGAGTCAACCTCCTCGTGGCACGGGGAAGGAAGGGGGAAGGGGGTTCCCTCCGGCGGCTCCTCACCGTTGTCCCCCCAGTCGGTGTTCCAGGAGTTGGCCACCAACCAGTACGGGGTGTCGTTGTCCACCCCCCAGCCCAGGATCCGGATGGCGTGGCCCCCGACCTGCTCCCCGGTCACGTGCTGGTAGATCCCTGCAAGGAGATGTCACAACCACTCAACGGGTGCTGGAGCTCAGGGGAGCAGCACAGAACGTCTGGGCTGGAGGGGACCTCCCAAAGGGCATCCAGTGCAACCCCACCGCCATCAGCAGGGACATCTCCAACTAGGTCGAGCTGCTCAGAGCCTCATCCAACCTGCTCCT